GGTCCTTCCTCCATGTCTTTGTTAAAGTCATTACAAGGAGATCTTTTGCCATTATTTGTGGGTCAGTGAATAAGGGGAGTGTTTTCCCTCGTTGTGGTTTTAAGTAACCACTCTGCGGAGACATTATACCGACATTAACCTGCAAGGGAAAAAAGTATAACTTTAGAGTAAGCACAATTCACAAAGCATCGCTGAATCCATTTGAATATTACAATATACCTGTACTTTCTTCTGTTCATGTTTGCTTCCTCCTTTCTTGCCCAAAGAAAAGTTTGTTCTTTCCTTACATTTCTGTTTTCGGTATTCCAAAAACTGGTTTAAAGTGGGCGCAGGTGTTGAGCCCACGCCTGTCCCTATGAAATAAACTTTGTCAACTGTGCCATCGTTGTTTAGCAAAAGAAAAACGCCACATTAGAGTTTTCACGTCTTAAAATAGAGAGAACCTGATAACGGCAGTCAGAAGACAGAACTACAGTACGCCAAATGTACAGTCACTATAGACGCCTTATTAGAAACACCATAGCATTAGCGTTAACTATTTTTCTATAAGATAATATAATACAAAGTATAGTGTTAGGAACGTAAATACATAAAAAAATTGAAAATATAGAGAAATTACGGAGGATATACGATGCTGATGACCGCTGACACGGTAACAGCGTTAAGACACGTTTTAGCCAAGTTATGGCTATCTAGCCTAAGTTACCTGTAATGTTCGTTGACACGGGCGTTTTCTGTCGTGTCTCTTTTAATACCTCGAGATTTTTTCTGCATGAACCGCAGAACTTTGGAAGCACGTCATTCTGTATTCCACAGAAAGGGCAATACATATTTATCCTTTTACTGCACTAATTTCACAACATCCGTACTTTCTACCACTAACCTGCCGTCCTTCCTGCACACCTTGATTGACAGATGTCTCGTCCAATCAGCGGTAAGCAATCCATTCTGAAACTATCCCTACCTTTTCCGGTTTGACTGAATTGTCCTAGTGTTTTCTGTCTTGTTGTTTTGTTTT